GTCAGTAGGTTCTGTGACTTGAGAGACAAAACGGCAGCTTAGGTAAACACAACCACACAACCACATCAAAATTACAACTAAACTACAGAACAGCCATTATTCAGAACTGCCAGAAATTGAACTCAATGGAAGTACTACAACTACAGAATTAAAGAAGAAACCACATCAAGACTGGTAGGAGAGATGGAGACATAGAATGGGATGGACCGACACCCATGTGTGGTGAATAAAAATCAGGAGTGATCTCTCAGGAGCAAAGGGTGCCAGACTTACAATGGACCCCCCAGCCCAGGGTTCCACTGCCAGGAAGGTAAGTCCTCATAACTTCTGGCTATAAAAAACAGTGGGGAGTAAGATTGTGGAAGACAGAGACTGCTGCATTCCCAGGCAGTTCCTCCTAAAAGGCCCACAAACAGACTTACTCAGACTTACTCCCTCTGAGCTCCAACAATGGGGCAGCAGCTTGAAAGGCCCACAGGTACACGGGAGTAACTGAATTGTCTGGCAACAGGGCGAGAGTTGGGGGACAGCTTTGTCCCAGACAGAAGTGCTGGCAGAGGCCACTGTTCCTTTTCCAAGCTCTCCTCCCACAGACCCAGCAGATGGGCACCATATCTGAGACTTCATCAACCTGGCTCAGATGGTTTGCCCCACCCTGCTGATTCCCTGAGGCTCTGCCTCACCCAACTTTCAGGCCCACCCAAGCTGTTTCCAGTGGCTTTTCTATATGAATGGCTGGTCTTAGCTCATGGTTCAGATTTTCCAAACACCACTCAAACAAGCAGCATCTGGCCTCAGCAAGCCCCATACCTTTTGCTAAGTGGCCCAGGCCAGGTACTGGCAGCAGCTGGCTTCACAGCTTGGCCTCACTTGGGCACCTCCAAGTCCAGTACAAGTAGTAGCCACCCACATATTGCTTTGTAGCTTATGACACGTGGCCTTGGACAGAACACAGGTGATAGCTGACCATGGCCTGCAACTCCTGGAAGCCCCAGAGCCTGCACACCCACTGGACAGCTACGGACCATGTCCGAGCACTATCACCCAACCATGTCCACAAGTAGCACACTCAAGAGGTGGCCTCAATGGGCACCAGAGCCCTGCTGAAGTAAGTCCTGCTTTATAGAGTGGGCCCCTGCACAGATGATCCTCTATAGTGGTTGGAGGTTGGTGGTCAGAAGTCATAGCCAATCCTTGCAGCTGACTGGCCTGGGTAAATTTCTCCTATTGACCTGTCAACAGCAATCAAGCTTCACCAACAAGAGGGTGTACACAGGCCACTTGGTGGGCGTATCTCGAGTACCCAACTTGAGTGATAGGGGAGTCTGTGCCATTGGACCCTACAGGAGACCTACTACATTAGGCCACTCTATCAAGCCAGGGAGTCATTACAGCTCTACCTAATACACAGAAACAAACAGAGAGGCTGTCAAAATGAGGACACAAAGAGACATGGCCAAAATCAAAGAATAAAACAAAACTCCAGAAAAAGAACAAAATGAAGACAAGCAATCTACTAGATGCAGAGTTCAAAACACTGGTTATAAAGATGCTCAGTGAATTTAGGGGGAAGAGCAGATGAACTCAAAGAGGACTTCAATAGCATAAAAAGGACACAGTCAGAAATGAAGGACACACTAACAGAAACGAAGAACAATTTACAGGGAATCAACAGTAGAATACATAAAGCCAAGAATCAGAATAGTGATTTGGAATATAAGTAAAAAAAAAGAAAGAAAAAGAAAAAAGAAAAAAAAAAGCAATCAAAACAGCAAAAAAAAAAAAAAAAAAAGAATCCCACCTCTGCCCTCCAAATGAAGCTAGTGTAATAAGCCTCTGGGGCAACTTCAATCATGGGGGTGCCAGAAGGAGAACAGAAAGAGGAAAAAATTGAGAACCTATTTGATAAAATGACATAAAATTTCCCTAACTTGGTGAAGGAAATAAATAGGCAAGCCCCAGAAGTGCAGAGAGTCCCAAATATGATGAACCCAAATAGTCTCACACCAAGACACATCATAATTATAATGCCAAAGATTAAAGACAAAGAGAGAGTCTTAAAGAAGCAAGAAAAAAAGCATTAATTACCTACAGATAGTTCCCATAAGACTGTCAGATGATTTCTCAAAAGACACTTTGCAGGCAAGAAGGGATTGGCAAGAAATATTCAAAGTCATGAAATGTACAGACCAACAACCAACACTACTCTGCCTACCAAAGCTATCATTTGCAATTGAAAGATAGATAAAAAGCTTCGCAGACAAAAAAAAAAACTAAAGTTCATCATCAGCAAACCCATATTATATGAGATGTTAAAGTGACTTATTTAAGAAAAAGATTAAAACTATGAATGATAAAATGGCAATAAATACATATCTGTCAACAATTGAATCTAAAAAACAAAATAAGCAAATAAGCAGAACAGAAACAGAATCATAGATACAGAGAATGTCTTGGTGGTTGCCAGATGTGAAGGTCAGAAGAATGGGCAAAAAAGGTGAAGGGATTAAGAAGCACAAATTGGTAGTTACAGAGTAGCCATGGAGAGGTATAATACAGCATAGGGAACAGAGTAGGCAAAGCACATATATGCATGACCCATGGACATGGATGAGGGAGTGGGGTGGACTGGGTGGAGGGATGAAAGGGGGAAAAATTGGCACAACTGTAATAGCATAATCAATAAAATATGATTAAAGAAAAAAGAAAAAATAGTTTGTGTCTTTAAGCGAAACGACATGTAATAAAACCAATTTTACCATAGGCTAATTTTATAAATAAGAGTTAAGTTCCTTTGGCAACATTATAATGAAAGGATGTCATTTGAGGACCTGTTGTCCTCAGTGACTAACAGAGAGAGGACACCGTGTAGTGTGGAGATGATTAACTAAGGGATGATGCATGTTCTGAAGGCATGCAATTTAAAACTTAAGAATTTATTTCTGGAGTTTCCATTTAATATTTTTGGGATACATCGATTGTAGGTAACTGAGACTGTGGGAAGCAATTTAAATCTAATATTTACCCACTGTCTACCAGGAAAGGTTGGGATCCCTTGGTTAATGTTCCCTGAACAAGAGAAAGTAATGATTACTACTAAGACAAGGGATCTGGGAGTAGTCTTGTAGGCTCTTGTAACTAAACATGCCCATAAAAGCTGGGGATGGAATTAGAAACCAATAAAAAATCTCTATCCATCTATTCAATCAACATTTACTGAGCACTTATTTTGGACAAGGCCTTGTGCTAGGATATGGGGGTATGAGGGTTCATGACACAAGACTATCCTTAAGAAGTTGATAACCTAACTTAACTATCTTTGCTCTTGTGTACTGAAACCTGCAGTGCCTTTTGCAGTTCTGCTCTGAACCTTAATAAAGTGGCAGATCGTACATGTAGCTGTCTAGCTGCTGGTGTGATTATACTGCTACTTTTCTGCAAAGGCTTTGGCAGCTGGTGGCAAGAGCCATAAATATGTTCCTACCCCCTGGATCTGCCCCTGAGAATTTATCTTAAGGAAGGATCTTAGATATGGACAAGGATTTACATACAGGGATGTTCATTGCTTTTCTAAAAAAACAGAGGATACAACCTAAACTTCTAACAATGGGAAATGGCAAAATAATTGATGATATGCCCCTATGATGGACTATTAGGTGGTTATTAGAAATGGTATTTTAAAATAACTTAATGGCATGTAGGAAAGACCAGGAGAAAGAAAGGACACAGATTTCTACACAAGGTGCTCAAAGATATCCATAATTTAGTATCTTAGGCCCTCTGTATTTTTCAAATTTTTGACAACGTGCTTCTTATAGTATTTCTACAATCAGGACTTTTGGGACTTCCCCCCCTTTATTTTAGAGACCTAATGGCAGAGAAAAAGCTAGAAAGACAATCAAAATGACCAAGATTTGGGAAACTGTTATGAGGACTGACCAAAATGAACTGAAATTCCACATGTTATGTGGCAAGAGTTGTGTGAAATGTCAGTAATATTAGCTGCAATATACTGACTGCCTACTATGTGCCAGGCACCAAGTAGGTTTATACAGAGGAAAAATAAATTATATAATTCAGTTTCCAACCTAGGTTTGTTTGGTTTCATATCCTGATACAAGCAAATTCAAAAAGGGTAATAAGCAACTCCCAGACAAATCCTATACAGGATTTTCAACATGTTTAGGGCATTGGAGGTCTGGGTTGCTGATAACATTGACAGGGCTTATGCCAGCTCGAGTGTGTCTGACTATATATTTCCCTAGAGAATCTGTTTGACATTCACAATATACTACATCTATTGCCAGAAACGATGATGCCTTATGATTTGCATTATGTGTGCACATACATACACGTATCTTCCTTTCTGACCCTCGTTGTTTACCTTGAAAGGAAGTATTTGCTTTATTGCACAAATAAAGGATATCAGGATAAACATTTGTTCAACGTACCACAGCCCATAAGACTTCCAGACATTCTGGATGTCAGTGAACCATGCCTCCCAACATACTCCCGCCCCAGCCCCCACCGTTTCGGTGTAGTACCTAATCCCAGGGATTTGGGGGTGCACTCTCATTGCGTTTAATTGTATCCCACTTTTTTCCCCCAAACCTTGCCTCTCAACCCCTGCCTGATGGACTGGCAGTGTCAAGACCCTGGCGGCCTGGCCTTGGGTCATCTTCAGCCTAGGACTCGCTGCTTGACCTTGTGCAAGTCCGTTTCCCTCCTCCCAGAGCTGCAAGGATGAATAACTGGGGCTCCACCCTGGTCATTCCTTCCTGAGGCCGCCCTGCTCCAGCATGCTTTCCTTCCAAGGCGCTCTCAGTCTGCGCCGCACCAACCTCACCTCTACGCTCCTGGCGTAGAGACCGCCTGGAGTTGCTCAGCTCACTCATTCAAGACGCTAGTTTACGCTGCGCAGGCTAGGCGGGCGCGATTCCCGAAGGCGGCCAGCGCTACGAGCGCGTGGTCATCACACAGGCCAGCACAGCCTTACGCCACTGACGCAGCGCGCCCAAGATGGCGGCGTGGTCGTCGTCGGGGGTGGTGGCAGCAAAGGGGGTGGCAACGGTGGTAGCAGCGAGGGCGGCAGCCTTAACGGCGGTGGTAGCAGCGAGGAACCTGGGACAGGGGGAATGAGGCAACTGCTGCGGATTAGTGGCGCAGCCGTCTAGCGGAGAAGCGGATCACTCTCCCTGCTTCTCTTTACTGAGCCGGGAACGCGCGTGTGCGCGTGCACGGCCGTCCGGAGCGGGCTCCTCACCCTCTACTCCCGCGACCCGCACCGCACTCCCACCCGGGCTCGGAGGATGATGAAGCTCAAGTCGAACCAGACCCGCACCTATGACGGCGACGGCTACAAGAAGCGGGCCGCATGCTTGTGTTTCCGCAGCGAGAGCGAAGAAGAGGTGAGGCGCCAGGCCGGGGGTCACCGGAGTCGGTGGCCGCCTCAGGCCGAGGCGTGGGGGCACAGCGGACCGGGGACTATGTGCTTGGGCTCCGGGCAGGACTGCTCGGCCAGGCCCGAGTGAAGTTCCGACGGAATTTCCTGAGGCGAAGAAGAGGGGGAAGGCAAAAGGATGGTGGGTGGAAGGGAAGTGGGTCTGAGCATGGCCATTCGTCATGGGCTGGGTGGAAGGAAACGCCAGCTTGCGGTCTGGTCACTTCAGAGCCGGCCACCTGTCTTCGGCCGCTGGTCTTCGGGGTAGAGCGGCCACAGGGTGGGGTGGGGTGGGGTGGGGTGCGGGGAGGTGAAGGCAGTGACTGGGGAAGAGTGGTTTTCGGTCCAGGCCTCCAGCTTGGGGTCCATGAAGGGCAGTTCCGCACTTGTCAGTCCAGCACATGTGTGCAGAGGCCGCCTTGCACGAGGCACAGGCCGCCCCTTTGTGGCAGAGAAATAGTCCACTTCATTGACAGGTTTGGGGTTTGTCCAAGGATTTATGTGTGTCTGTGAGACATGGGCGGGGGGCGGGGTGGGGGGTTTGGCAAGATTTAGGGTGTTGTGCAAAAGCCAAAGCCAGTTGTTTATAATGGGCTGGGTAGCCCTTTTGGTATAACCTGAGAAGAATGGATGTTTGACAAGATAATCTTTGAGGGTTGAAAAATTTTAATTTAATTTGGAAGGCTGAAATGGTATTTAAGATATTTGCCCTGATATTCCTCTACTGCTGTATATCAAGGCTCTTGGAGTTAAATGTGCTAGCAAAATAGAAATGCTTTCCATTAGTTTCTTTTTGCATAGGGTACTTGCAAAAAGAAAAAGAAATCTCAGCCCCTCAGAGCTGTTTCTGTGGTATAAAGGGAATTCAGAGAAGGAACGTGTTTCGTAAATCCACAAATAGCGCTTTGGAAATTTATGAGATGTCTGTGGGAACGCATTTCTCTCACGTGCATAGTAGGAAAATGGCAGTTAAACTGGAAACAATGAAGGACGGTGAAATTCAATATGTTGTAGTTTGGCATTCAGCAGTGGGCTATGGTGGATACAGAGCACCGTGTTGAAATGAGGGGAAAGTAACTTGACCCATTAGTTATGAAAAGAAGCTGTGATGAAAGAGACAGATGGATGGATTGGCAGGAGTGTTGGTCCAGAGATATTTAGGAGGAAGTGGGAATTTAAATTATAACCTGAAAAATATTAATAAAGCACTAATCGTGCTGTTGAGGGATCACGTGTGTTCCCTTTCAGCAAAACAGAAGGAAATGGGTTTTGTAATGTATACTTTGTGTCCTAGCATATGTCGTAAACACCCCCCCCCCGAAACAGATGCATTATAATAGATGCACTAAGCAGGGCCATACTGTAAATTATGTACAGTTTTAGAATACATACTTGAGTAAGTAAAGTTATTGGTGGTGATTACTGCTCCAGAGGCTTTGTTCTCTTCATTATCGTATCATATGGGATCACAGGGTGTTAACTGGGTGGAAAACTAATTAGCATAATAACATGTTCCACTGTAGTACTATGGTTAAGTCTGTGAGCATTCCAGTTATAAGTGAAAGTATATAATTTAGTTGTGTGAGTGGTGCAAGATTTTATTTGTTTTTAAAAAATCACAGGGCCCTGGCTAGTGTGGCTTAGTGAATTGAATGCTGCCTTGTGAACCAAAGGATTGCTGGTTCAGTTCCCAGTCACACCACATGTCTGGGTTGCAGGCCAGTTCCCCAGTAGGTGGCATGTGAGAGGCAGCCACACATTGATGTTTCTCTTTCCTCTTTCTCCCTTTTTCTTTCTCTAAAAAGAAATAAATAAAATATTTTTAAAAATCATACTAGAAATTGAGAATATGTGAGCATTTTTAAAACTTCTTTAAAATTTTTTAAAATTTGATTTTAAGCAGGGGGAAAGGAGAAGAGAGAGAGAGAAACATTGGTTTATTGTTCTGCTTATTTATGCATTAATTGGTTGATTCTCCTATGTGACCTAGTCTGAAATCAAAACTGCAACCTTGGTGTATCCAGATGATGCTCTGAGCAACTGAGCTACCCAGCCAGTGCAACGTGTGAGCATTATGGATAAATTGGAAACCCTTTATTGATCATAAGCGAACTAGAGATTTCATTTTCCATTTTTTGTTAAAGGTTTATTATTTACTTACATTAGTAGCATTAATGTTAATAGATTTGACTGATCACGGGTTTCCTCTGAGTTTTTTAAAATATATTTTATTGATTATGCTATCACAGTTCCATTTTTTTCCTTTCCTTTATCCTCCTCTGCTCTGTACCCCCATCCCTCCACCATTCCCCCCCACCCCCGCTTTAGTTCATGTCCATGGGTTGTACATATAAGTGCTTTGGCTTCTCCATTTCCCATACTGTTCTTAACCTCCCCCTGTCTATTTTGTACCTACCATTTAAGCTTCTTATTCCCTGTACCTTTTCTGCCACTCCCCCCCCCCACAATAACCTTCCATGTGATCTCTCCTGTTCTGTGATTCTGTTCCTGTTCTAGTTGTTTGCTTAGTTTGTTTTTGTTTGGGGCTTTTTTTTTTAAGGTTCAGTTGTTGATAGTTGTGTTTGTTGTCTTTTTACTGTTCATAGTTTTGATCTTCTCTTTTTTCTTAGATAAATCCCTTTAACATTTCATATAATAAGGGCTTGGTGATGATGAACTCCTTTAACTTGCTCTTATCTGGGAAGCACTTTATCTGCCCTTCCATTCTAAATGATAGCTTTGCTGGATAGAGTAATCTTGGATGTAGGTCCTTGCCTTTCATGACTTTGAGTACTTCTTACCAGCTCCTTGTTGTCTGCAAGGTTTCTTTTGAGAAATCAGCTGAGAGTTTAATGGGAACTCCTTTGTAGGTAACTGTCTCCTTTTCTCCTGCTGCTTTTAAGATTCTCTCCTAATCTTTAATCTTGGATAATGTAATTATAATGTGACTTGGTGTGTTCCTCCTTGGATCCAATTTCTTTGGGACTGTCTGAGCTTTCTGGACTTCCTGGAAGTCCATTTCCTTTGCCAGATTATGGAAGTTCCCCTTCATTATGTTTTCAGATAAGTTTCCAATTTCTTGCTATTCCTGTTCTCCTTCTGGCACCCCTATGATTTGGATGTTGGAACATTTGAAGTTGTCCTAGAGGTTCCTAAGCCTCTCCTCATTTTTTTGAATTCTTGTTTCTTCATTCTGTTCATGCAGTTGAATGTTTATTTCTTCTTTCTGGTCCAAATCGATGATTTGAGTCCTGGTTTCCTTTCCTTCACTGTTCCCTGTACACTTTCCTTTATTTCACTTTGCACAGCCTTCACTCTTTCCTCTAGTTTGTGACCATATTCAGCCATTTCTGTGAGCATCCTGATTATCAGTGTTTTGAACTCTGCATCTGATAGGTTGTCTGTCTCATCATTGCTTAGTTCTTTTTCTGGAGTTTTGACCTGTGTTTTCATTTGAGCTATATTTCTTTGTCTCAGCGTACCAGTCTGGATGAATGTGTCTCCTTTAACTCCTTAGTTGTCAGACTTCCATACAGTTTGATTTTCTGGCAGTTCTGATTGTTTTTGTTGTTGTTGTTGTTCGTTTGTTTTTAAATCTGTTGTTGTCCTTCTTTATGTGAGGAAGCAAAGTGTATCTACCCATGCCTCCATCTTGGCTGGAAGTTGGGTTTCCGCTACTGAATTTAAAAAAAATCTTTTTCTACTGAATTTCTTTTTGAACATTGGTTAATGAGAAGATTCATGCAAATCTTTAATTACAGATTCAGTGGATGTTACAACTAATACCTAGGAAAATCAGAATTAATAAAATGGACCCATTTCAGACCTGTTCAGTTCAATTAAATAAAAGTGTATTAAGTGTATTAAGAGCTTACTTTGGGTACAGCTCTCTCTAATGTGGGATAAACATCCCTCCCTGCCCCTAAAAGATGAGTGGTTTTCAATGGGATCCCTTAATTGGGAGAGATTTGGGGCAAGAAATCATCTCCAGGGTGCTGTTCAACTCTCTGGTTATATAATTGTGTTGGATGGGAAGAATTTGTTAGTTCCAGGAGAACTTTTATGTTCTTAATAGAAGTGCTAGAAATGGAAAGTATTAGCTGCCACATTGTGGGAATGTGAAATTCCAATTCAGTAGGACATTCAACCCATTTTTATTTTTTAATGGGCACTAGTAACTTTAATCAAGGTAAAATAGTTTAGCCGGGCCTGGGTAGCTTAGTTGGTTAGAGCATCTTCTTGATACGCCAAGGTTGCTGTTCAATCTCTGGTCAAGGCGTATACAAGGATCAGCCAATGAATGCATAAATGGATGGAACAATGAATCAGTGTTTCTCTTTTTCTTCCTCTCTACCCCCTCCTCTCTCTAAAATCAATAAATTTAGAAAAAAGTCATTTACAGAATATTATTAGCATTAACACAGTTGTAATGCCGGTATAAATAGGATCCTGATTTGTAGGTTTAATTAACCAGTATCAGGAAACATACATACAGTGTAACAAAAAAAGAGATGGAAAATATTGGCAGATAATAGACCATGAGTCAGACCTTCTAAAACATAACATAAAACATTATGTTTTATCAGCCCTAGAAAATTTATTTATAGGCCTGCTGAAATACTGATCCAGTATTTTAAGATGTGTGAACATATTCAGCAAATTTACCAACCAAGTTTGTTCGGTGTCATGTTCTGTGATACATGTCTGTTACAAAGGCAACAGACATGCAGGGAGCTTAGTCTGGTGGGAGAGATGGAAAAGCAAACAGATCCATGAAAATGAGTTCCCTTTCCTTCAAACTTCTGGATGCTTTTCCTGTTGATAAACAAGAAGTCTATAGCAGGAAAATTTCCCTACTTACAAATTTAACTTATTGTGATTTACATTTTGATAAATTAAAATCTTTAAGTTTGGGGTGTTAATGATAACTAATATTGATTACAGTACTTTGAACCTGATGTACAGTGA